TTCTAGGGAGGATCGCTTTAACGAAAATGAACATCTTAGCGGAGGTATTATACCTCTTTCGCATGATTCCTGTAGTAAGAACAAAAAACACGATAGCAAAATGGCAGAAAGAGCTAAATAAATTTATATGGCAAAATAAGCGGGTCAGAATAAAATTCAGGAACATGAGCGATGACCCGAAGAGGGGAGGGCTCAGGCTCCCAGACCTCCAGCTTTACTATGACGCCGCAGTACTAACATGGGTAAGGGAATGGGCGACACTAAAAGATGTAAAACTGCTGTTGCTAGAAGGGGAGAATTTAAATAAAGGATGGCACAGCTATCTATGGAAAGACAAAGCCACTAAGGAAAAGAACTTCCATAACCATCTCATTAGGGCGTCACTAATAAAAATATGGAACAAGTACAAGGGGAGATGGTACTCAAAAACACCAATGTGGGTCTCCCCGAACGAGGCGGATCAAAGGAGGGAAACAGCAAAAGGTAAATGGTTAAAATATAAACAGCTCCTAAAGATAACGAATCAGGAGGCAAAACTAAAAACACTAGAGGAAATAAGACAAATAGAACCGGAGTTCACCTGGTTTGAATATTGGCAGGTTAACGAGAACTTTAAGGTGGATAAAAAAATAGGATTTGAAACGAAGGAGAAAGTATGGGATAAGATGTTAAACAAAGAGAGAAAGGTGATAAAAGGATTGTATCAACAGCTACTACTATGGGCATCAGAAGAGGAGCAAGTGAAGGAAGTTATGATTAAATGGGCCAGAATGATAGGTCGCACAATAACAATGTCAGAGTGGGAGGGGATTTGGAGAAAAAAATTAAAATATGCATACGCTGTGGAAATAAAGGAAAACTGGGTGAAAATGTTTTATCTATGGTATCAGACACCGGAAAAAATAGCGAAATACAGTAAGGGAAGGTCTGACAGGAAATGTTGGCGATGTGAAAAGAAACTGAGAACTTTTAAACACATGTGGTGGGACTGTAAAATAATAAGAAAGTTCTGGAAAGAGGTACACCACAAGACAAAGGAAATACTAAAAATTGACCTGGAATTCAGACCGGAGTATTTCCTATTGGGAATGAACAACTCTACCATAGATAGAAACGATGAAAAAATCATGTTCTACCTCACCACGGCAGCGCGAATGTGTGTGGCCCGACGGTGGAAAAATAAGGAAACAGCGGACTTCACTCAGTGGATGAGCAAGTCCATGGATATTATGAACATGGATATTTTAACACAGAGACTAAGGAAAAATGACCAAAGAAAAGAAAACACTGACTGGGGCAAATTCATCACCTTCATAACCCTCCTAAAAGAGAATAAGGAGAAATGTTGATAGAACAAGTAGCTGAGAGTATCACTAAGGAACAGGAGTCAAATAAAAGAGCAACCGACCAAAAGGGCTGTAATTATGTAATAATGATATTAGGAACTGTACGCTTAAACACCCTGGAAGTCACGATGTGTGTATAGGTGTTATTTATGTATGTAGGTCTTCACATGTCTATGTGTTATATGTTGTGTGATTGCAATGTAATGGGGGAGGGGGGAGGGTAGGAGGGGGGAGAAGGAAGAATAATTTAAGATTAAGGTAACATCAGCCCCTAACAACAAATAAAATTTTGAGACTTTAGAAACTAGGAGATAACCAGATAAGATAATAAGGGGCTAACACGAAGGAGGAATAGAGGGAATTGTGTAGGATAAGTATTTATCTCTTTTTCGTGCTATGTCAATGTATTGGATGTATGTTCGTATGTATTTATGTCTTTTGGAGCAAGTACTGCCCTTTTTTTATACTATAACGCAATAAAAAACTATTTTTTTTAAAAAAACTGCATTTCAAAATTTAATTCTGCACAAAATTCACAAAATTCTGCATAGAAAACATTTCTGCAAATATTTGTGTAGAAAAATGCTTTTTAAAATTTTTTGGGGTTTTTTCTATCATACTTTTACATACAAAACAGCAAGCCCTCCCCAAAAATATTACGAAAGTTGACTCTCAGTTAACCGGGACTCAAGCAACTGGAACTCTCAAGCAACCGGCAAAAAAATAAAACTTAAAATAGAATTTAAAATAACATCATTTCCCAAAAATATTGTAAAATCTTTTTTTGCTATATTTTTGACTGTGTCAGATTTGGTTTTTTCTTAATTTTAATTGTAAGTTGCTTTGAGTATCCTTTGGGAAAGATATAGCTGGGTTTAAATAATAATAATAATAATAATAATAATAATAATAATAATAATTTGTCTTCCTTTGCTTTTAATTACTATGTTTCTATATTAATATCAAGCCAATACCTGAGCCCCCGGTGGCGCAGTGGGTTAAACCCCTGTGCCGGCAGGACTGAAGACCGACAGGTCGCAGGTTCAAATCTGGGGAGAGGCGGATGAGCTCCCTCTACCAGCTCCAGCTCCTCATGCGGGGACATGAGAGAAGCCTCCCACAAGGATGATAAAAACATCAAATCATCCAGGTGTCCCCTGGGCAACGTCCTTGCAGACAGCCAATTCTCTCACACCAGAAGCGACTTGCAGTTTCTCAAGTCGCTCCTGACATGACAAAAAAAAAAAAAAAGAATCCAATATAGAGTTTATGGTATAATATAGGGTATAATATTAGACCTATTTTTATTAGTAACTCTCAAGCAACCAGAATCTATTTGGCACCTAGCAATCCCCATGGGTGCTGGTTAAATGAGATTCTGCTATATTTCTTTACAGAAATATTCTCTGTACAGGAAATAATTCCTGCACTGAAAAGTTTGTCTGTTCTGGTTCTCCTGACCAGTTTCCTTAGTCTTGAGAAAAACAGTTTCCAAACATTTTTGGACATTTTAGACAAGGCTTTTCTGCCTCTCTTCTGCAATGGTTGGAAAGTGGCAAAGAGCAGAAGTGAATGGGCAATCGTTTCAGCTCCATTCACATGCCCTCCTTTAACCCTTTGGAGAGGGCCAAAAAAGGGTCGCGTTCCCCATCTCTCCTATGGAGCCCTGCTGCAAAGAACAGCACTTTGTTTCTTTCTTTCATAGAGACAGGCACAGCTTTTCTCCTGCGATTGATTGTCTCTGGCCTTACGCTCTTGCATTCCCAGCCTTTAGCAGCCGGATGACTAGGAAACTGGGCAAAGTCTCCAGGCTCAGGCTGCATTAAATGGGTGCAGGTAGACCACAAGGGAAATGGAGCAAACCCCACACTTCATGTGAAGGGGAGAAATGCATTGATCCTTGTAAAAGAGAAGTGTATTGACTCTTGCAAAGAGAAATACATTGACCCTTGCAAGAGAGGGACGCATTGACCCTTGCAAGAGAGAAATACATTGACTTTTGCCAGGGAGAAATACCTTGACCCTTTGCAATAGAGGAATGCATTGACCCTTGCAAGGGAGAAATACATTGGCCCTTGCAAGAGAGGAATGCATTGACCCTGGCAAAACAGAAATGCATTGACCCCTGAAATAGAGGAATGTATTGACCCTTGCAAGAGAGAAATGTATTGATCCTTGCAAAATAGAAAGGCACTAACCCTCACAACAGAGAAATGCATTAACCCTTGCAAGAGAGAAATGCATTGACCCTTGCAAGAGAGAAATGCATTGACCCTTGCAAAATAGAAAGGCACTAACCCTCACAACAGAGAAATGCATTTACTCTTGCAAGAGAGAAATGCATTATTCCTTGCAAAAGAGAAATGCATTAACCCTTGCAAGAAAGAAATGCATCGACCCTTGCAAAATAGAAAGGCACTAACCCTCACAACAGAGGAATGCATTGAACCTTGCAAGAGAGAAATGCAGCGGCCTTTGCAGCAGAGAAATGCATTGACCCTTGCAAGAGAGAAACGCATTAACCCTTGCAAGAGAGACATTCATTGACACTTGCAAGAGATGAATGCATTGACCCTTGCAAAATAGAAAGGCACTAAACCTCACAAGAGAAATGCATTTACTCTTGCAAGAAAGAAATGCATTAATCCTTGCAAGAGAGAAATGCATTGAACCTTGCAAAAGAGAAATGCATTAACCCTTGCAAGAGAGAAATACATTGACCCTTGTAATAGAAGAATGCATTGACCCTGGCAATAGAGGAATGCATTGACACTTGCAAAAGAGGAATGCATTGGCCCTCGCAGCAGAGAAATGCACTGACCTTTGCAAGAGAAATGCACTGAGAATTGCAAAAGAGGAATGCATTGACCCTTGCACAACAGAAATGCACTGACCCTTGCAATAGAAAAATGCATTGACCCTTGCAAATGCAGAATCCTCTAGCTAGCATCACCCCCAAAACTGACTTCTCCAAGTGTTGATTTCCCCCCCCCCCCTTCTAGAAGGCTACCACTGGGACTATCTTCACTGTAGAATGAATGCAGTTTGACGCCACTTTAATTGCCATGTCTGAATGCTATGGAATCCTGGGAGTTGTATTCAGGTGGAATCTCTTTTCTTGAAGTTTGGGATACAATGGCCCATGGTGTTCTAGTCTCTGACCTATCCTCAATGGGATATCCTTTCAGATATTTAAACATCATTCTCATATCCCTTCTCAACCTTCTCTTCTCCAAGCAAAACATCTGCTTTAAATTGGATTATATGAGTCTCTACTGACATATAATCTGGGATAAGCAGATAATCTGGGATCAGGTCCTGCAATATAAGGACAGTGTAGAAAAGGAGCCTTTCAAGGGGACTGTTTTCCATCCAGATGTTCCTTCTATTCAGCAGTGGAACTCTCTGCCCCAGAGTGTGGTGGAGGCTCCTTCTTTGGAAGCTTTTAAACAGAGGCTGGATGGCCATCTGCCAGGGGTGCTTTGAATGCAATATTCCTGCTTCTTGGCAGGGGGTTGGACTGGATGGCCCATGAGGTCTCTTCCAACTCTTTGATTCTATGATTCCATCATCCAAGTCAGAGATACAGATGTTGAATAGCCCTGGGTCTTGTGTGAGCGGTTTGCTGAGTGTCTTTCTCCTCTTCTTTTCCAGGTGTTTGAACCGACTCGTCTTCTGCATCCATTCACCCCATTCCATGGACATTTGGGGACATCCCGATGGATTGTCAAACCTGGCTGGGCTTCTTCTCTTGGAACAAGGACTCAGAGCCAAACCAGCAAAATTTGGGGCGGGTGGGAGCGAGGCAGAGCTTGTGTTTCTGTTCCTTTTTCGAAATCTGAAAGCTCTCCCTATCATACCCAATATATACATTACATACATATATATATTTACACACCTACATGTATATCTAAACACACACCATACATGCACACATACAGACACACATGGAGACACGAATACACACACACGGATATGAGATACCTTTTTCCCCCCACGACAAGGGGCTGCCCCATGCCTACCGACGGAGGAAGCCGGCCGTTCTTCGCATAACGTTTGCTGTTTGTACATTCATGTCACGCATAAATATATTTATGTTGTAAAGCTATTTATATATTGTTTATAAAGAGATATTTATAAAAATTTTATTTATGTAACTAAATGGAAAAAAAGGAGTCTAGCATTGTAACTTTCTTTTCTGTTTTTCATCTTTGATATTTGGGAAAAATAATATGTTGGAAGAAAAACGAGCAGAAAAAGAATACCACCATTCCGTGTACGACTTTGTAACATGTCTTTCTTTTTGTTGAAGGCACCCCTTCAAACCAAGGGATTGTGTTGTTTTCCAAATATGGTTAGATGCACATTAGAAACATATTCGTGGGACTGATACCCACAGTTCTGTTATGTGTCAGAGTTAGATGATTTTCTGCTTTTCCAGAAAATCATCTGGAAAAGCAGAAAGGTCATTTGGACACATATAGTAAAGGTTTCCCCTTGACATTATGGGCCTCATCACACTAGAGAAAAAAATCCACTTTAAATTCAGTTTCTCCCTCCTGCAGAATTCTGGAATTTGTAGTTTAGGGAGGTGCCTTTAACAGCTTCACTAAACTACAAACCCCAGAATTCTGCAGGAGGCAGAAACCGGATTTTAAATGGAGTTTTTCTCTAGTGTGATGAAGTTATAAGTCTAGTCATGTCTGACTATTGGGGGCGGTGCTCATCTCCATGTCTTAAGCCAAAGAGCCGGCGTTGTCCATAGACGTCTCCAAGGTCATGTGGCTGGCATGACTGCATGGAGTGCTGTTACCTTCCTGCAGAAGCAGCACCTATTTTATTTATTTGATATATGTGTATACCGCCCCTCTCAGCCCCAAGGCAACTACTCACATTTGCATGCTTTTGAACTGCTAGGCTGGCAGAAGCTGGGGCTAACAGCGGGAGCTCACCCCACTCCTTGGATTTGAACAGCCAACCTTTCGGTCAGCAAGTTCAGCAGCTCAGCGGTTTAACCCACTGCGCCACTGGGGGCTCGATATATATAAACAATACTGAAAGAATACTGCCACTTCCCCATACATTTGCCTCATCTGTGGCCCTGTCTACACTGCCTTATATCCCAGGATTTGATTCCAGATTATCTTCTTATCCCAGATTACTTACTTACTTACTTACTTAGGCGATTCCTTGTAGCTTGAGGATAGTTGTCTTCCAGATGTGGTGTCTTGGTGGTGGGACGGTAGGTGGCTGTGGAGCCCTATTCTTGATCTGCATCTTCTCCCGCAGTGAGGACATCGGTTTCCAGACAGCAGTCAGGGTTGGCTTGACATGCCTTCTTCCGCTTGGCACATTTCTCCCTTTCACCCTCCATTCGTGCCTCTTTGAATTTTGCAGCACTGCTGGTCACAGCTGACCTCATTACGAGTGCTCGAGAGCCAGGGCTTCCCAGTTCTCTGTGTCTATGCCAGAGTTTTTAAGGTTGGCTTTGAGCCCATCTTTAAATCTCTTTTTCTCTTCTCCAACATTCTATTTTCCGTTCTTGAGTTCAGAGTAGAGCAACTGCTTTGGGAGACGGTGATCAGGCATTCGGACAACGTGGCTGGTCCAGCGGAGTTGATGGCGGAGGACCATCGCTTCAATACTGGTGGTCTTTGCTTCTTCCAGCACGCTGACATTTGTCCGCCTGTCTTCCCAAGAGATTTGCAGGATTTTTCAGAGGATCGTTCCAGGAGTTGCGTATGACGTCTGTAGACAGTCCACATTTAACAGGCATATTCCATATTATATGTCTGTGGAGACTCATGTAATCTAGTTCAAAGAAAATAATCTGGGATCAGATCCTGAGATATAGGGCAGTGTGGAAGGGCCCTGCGTTTCTTATCTATTACACAGCCATGACCGATCTCTGAATCTGCTCTAGGTTTTTAAAGGGATAGGACAATTAAGTCACAGGCTTCTGTCCAACATGAATCTCTATTCCACAATTCACAAATACAAAACTATTCCTTGCAAAGCAGCAACAGGGAAGGGAAAAGTAGGGATTCCATCTCATAAGAATTCAGTCCCCACAAATAAACACTTCTTTCAGTCCCCAAATTCCTATTATTTGAAGAGAGTGAGTGACTGAGTATCATTTTTATACAGAACTTTTCCTTTTGCTGTGTTCTGATTCCCTTGGTCACTTGGATGCCTAAAATGTATTTCTAAAGGCTCAAATGAAGTGTTCGGTTAGTGGAATGTTAGACCATTTGGGGACTGAAGGAACATTTCATCGGAGGGCAGAATGATTATTTCAGGGCTTCAGTGTCCTCATTTTGTGTCCCTTTGTGGACCGGTAAACATGGATGAAAGAGCATGGTGTAATAGTTTAAGCGCTGGAGTGTAGTTTTGGAGACCAGGGTCCAAATTCCCACTTTGTCATAGAAACGGATTGGATGACCTCAGGCAAGTCACAGGCCCCATCTCCACTGACCATTTAATGCAGTTCTGAGCTAGCTTCAAAGGTAGCTAGACAACAAATTACCACAAAGGCATGCAAAAGAAAACTTTCAACGCACATCAGTGCACCACGGCTTGTGTCATCGCCATCCAGGCCTCAAGCTGCTTCGAGGATTCCATATGAAATCATCTGCACCGCAAAAACACTTTCATAGAATCATAGAATCCAAGAGTTGGAAGAGACCTCCTGGGCCATCCAGTCCAACCCCATTCTGCCAAGAAGCAGGAATATTGCATTCAAATCACCCCTGACAGATGGCCATCCAGCCTCTGTTTAAAAGCTTCCAAAGAAGGAGCCTCCACCACACTCTGGGGCAGAGAGTTCCACTGCTGAACAGCTCGTGTTCAGATGGAATCTCCTCTCTTGTAGTTTGAAGCTATTGTTCCATTGTGTCCTAGTCTCCAGGGAAGCAGAAAACAAGCTTGCTCCCTCCTCCCTGTGGCTTCCTCTCACATATTTATACATGGCTATCATATCTCCTCTCAGCCCTCTCACTGGGTTGTTGTAGGTTTTTTTGGGCTATATGGCCATGTTCTAGAGGCATTCTCTCCCGACGTTTCGCCTGCATCTATGGCAAGCATCCTCAGAGGGAAATGTCTGGCGTGTGATCCAATACAACAGCCAGCAGAGTGATCTTGTCTGCTGTGGACTCATCTTGTTGTGTTTCAATAATAATAATAATAATAATAATAATAATAATAATAATAATAATAATAATAATCTGATGACAGAGGACTCTTACAAGTCAAACAAGCAGTTGAAGAAGAACAACCCAATGCCCTGGAAGAAGATGTCAAGGAAAGCCAAGAACCTGCTTTGACTGATGTCAATAATCGGAAACTTCTCAAAGCACAGCAGACAAAGAGTCAGTTGGAACTAGGAAAATGGGTTTATGTATCTGTGGAATGACCAGGGTGGGACAAAGAACTCTTGTCTGTTGGAGCTAAGTATGAATGTTTCAACTGACCGCCTTGATTAGCATTTGATGGCCTGGCAGTGCCTGGGGCAATCTTTTGTTGAGAGATTTTATTTATTTATCGTGTCAGGAGCAACCAGACATTTGTATTACATTTTTAACAAAACAAAACAAACAAACAGAACACAAAGTTTGCAAGCTCAGTAGTTGATTAAATGTCCTTTGACCAGTATCTGGCCACTTGGAGTGCCTCTGGTGTTTCCGCAAGGAGGTTCTCCATTGTGAATGTAGCAGGGCTCAGGTTGCATTGCAGCAGGTGGTCAGATGTTAAGAGATAGAATCATAGAATCAAAGAGTTGGAAGAGACCTCATGGGCCATCCAGTCCAACCCCATTCTGCCAAGAAGCAGGAATAATGCATTGAAAGCACCCCTGACAGATGGCCATTCAGCCTCTGTTTAAAAGCCTCCAAAGGAGGAGCCTCCACCACATTCCGGGGCAGAGAGTTCCACTGCTGAACGGCTCTCACAGTCAGGAAGTTCTTCCTCATGTTCAGATGGAATCTCCTCTCTTGTAGTTTGAAGCTATTGTTTCGCGTCCTAGTCTCCCTCCTCCCGTCCTAGCTTGCTCCCTCCTCCCTGTGACTTCCTCTCACATATGTATACATGGCTACCATATATCCTCATCCTTCTCTTCTTCAGGCTAAACATGCCCAGCTCCTTAAGCCGCTCCTCATAGGGCTTGTTCTCCAGACCCTTGATCATTTTAGTTGCCTTAGATGTTCTTGATTGTTTCCTCTCTGTTGTTTTGCTGTTGTAATTTAAGAGTTTTTTTTAAACATTCACACCTAGCTCCAACAGACTAGAGTCCTTTGCCCCACCCTGGTAATTCTACAGATATATAAACCCATTTTCCTAGTGCCAAAAGACCTCACTACCTCTGAGGATGCTTGCCATAGATGCAGGCGAAACGTCAGGAGAGAATGCCTCTAGAACATGGCCATATCGCCCGAAAAAGCCTACAAGAACCCAGACTCCAAGGCACATACACTACAGCAACAAACACGAATGGGCTCAGGCCAAGTGAGACATCTAGTGATTCCAGATCAATGAATACCTTGTGTGTCCCATATCGTCAACTGAAAATTGGCAGTGTTCAATGTATGCCCATTTCTCCCCAACTGAATATTTTGTGTCCAAATAAGAGCCCCAAAATCCCATAACAGCGGAAGGGTGAAGAGAGTAGGGAGATTGGTGGAAGGGTGAAGGAAGGAGAGAATAGGGAGAATGGGGAGAAGATGAGAGCCTTTCCCCAATTCTTCCTTTGCAAACTGGCAGGAAAGAGAGTTAGAGGACCAGTGTGTGTTTGTGTGTTGATTCTTAATTAGTCTAGAGCACAAAACCTCCCAATTGATGCACCCCAAGAATGTCCAAATGGCAGGAGGAGTCCAATTAACAGCACATGGATGTAACTTGGGCAAGTCAGGGGCTCCCCACCTGCTTTTCTGACATGGCCTGAGCTCTTCCAGGTGCCCCAGAGCCCCATCGCATGGATCGATGGGGCAGCTGCCTTCCCTAGGTAAAGACACGTGACTAGAGAAAGCGGGACAAGGTATCCAGGTCACATTATCCCTGGCCTTGAGATCCAGGAGGGATGCCATGGGAGACGATGCCCTGGGGAGGCTGAACAGCCAGCGTTACACAGACAAGTCCTGGCAAAGCCATCATGCACAGTACATTAAGTGTCATCGTTCAAATCGCAAAACCACCAAGTCTAATAAATGATCAAAATGTAAACAGCCTCCACTTTTGCAGATTCCACTTTCGTGGGTTTGATTATTTGCCAG